AAAACCGAACGCATCTGCTGGGAAGAAAGCCTGAGGCCATCACGTTCTCTGCTGCATAAGCCGCCGCAGACCTTTTCAGATCTGTCTCCTGCTGCAAACCCCCAGGATTGAGCATCCACTACGCTTGTCAGACTCGGTCGTTGTTTCAGGTGCTGTAGCTGATGTGGTGCGGATGGTAGTCATTACAGCCAGTGCACTAGTCAGTATTGCATGCATCTGACGTCTTGAACGCACCGCGCTGAAAAGTTAAGGTGTCATCACGTTCTGCAAGATCAGGCTTGGTACTGGATGCGCCGTCCTGAACGTGCAGCACCAGCCCGTCCTTTGCAGGAAGGCTGAAGCCCCCAACATGCAGAACATATCACTCACAAGAAGACCAGAGCCAGCATGGCATGTCTCGGGTTTTACTCTCAAGCAAATCCTGTGTAACGAGCCGAAATACTTCACAGGCGACAGAAACAGCCGCGTGACCCACCATCGAAACCGCAAGCATCCGCAAGCATGCTGCAGAAGTTCGGAAGTGAAGCAAGCCTGAAGAATGGATCCATGAGCCTGAGGCTGCTCCAGCCAAGTGGCACAGTCGAAAATCACAGCCTCAACCTGCAAAGGTCTGCAGCCCAGTCAAAACTACTTTCCTTTCTCTCTCCGCAATGCCGGCCTGACCTGCGTAGCTAAACAGCCAAACTAAGGCAGAGTTCTCACCTGTGTTTCTTGCAGCGCGCTCTTCCCGACATGCCAACCGATGAAACGAAGAATGCCTCTTTGAAGTTCTAGCTTATTGAATGCCGGGCTCCCGAGGAGGCGGTCTACATTCCAGTCTTCAATAGCTTCCTGAAGCAATTATCCCTTGGCTGAAGCAACCCTCGCACAAGGTGCAGCTTAAGGTTGTATAGATTCAAGTCACTGGTTGCTGGCAGAAGGCCTCACGGAGGTCGTTTGCCGTGGGGTCATCTACTCCGGGCTTGTCGTCGCGAGGTCGGAGGCCTATGTCTCAAAAATGGAGTCAGGGCTAGACACAAGCATCTAAGGTTCAACAAGCAGCAGTATTCCATCAACCGTCTTCACTCATGTGGAGCCGAGCCTATTAGGAGCTCCTCCGGCTCCCGTCCCTCAGTCGGGCCTCAAGTTGCAAAAGTCGCACTCCATGCCTTTGACGTTCAACACTTCTTTCTATTGGCGATCAAATTACCAGGCCAGGCTCCGACCTGCTTTGACAAGCGCCCCCCCAAGGTCACCATGATCCGTAGCTTTGGCGAAAGGTCTACTGCAAAGGCTTAAAGAATTCTTGCGCGTAAAGCGCAGCCCTCATTTTGCCTCGGGCCCCAAGAATCCACACAACGTTTAAGCCCAGGCACCGTCTGCGAGGAATGAGCGGCGAGGTCGTGACATTCTGTCCTTCTTGCGAGACGCTATCTAGTGAAAAGATTCATGCTCCGAAAGTGCCTGGAGCAAAAGCTTACATTGCTTGCGAGGAGCACCCATCCCAGACTTTCGCCACTCTCGAGGAGACGAGCTGCACAAGCAAGGACGACGTTCGGACTAGTGATGCGTGTCAAGGGAAACGAAGAGAACAGCTGACTGCGGAAACCAAGAGAGGCCTCTGGACGAGACTCCCTAGCCCAGGCATGCCCAGGCCTGAGCAAGGCTTCCAGCTGACGGTCGTGGTCGCCTCAGGGCAATCCCTCAATCCGTGAAGGCGGCCAGCCAGAAAGAGGGGACTAGCCGACTAGCCGTACAGTCACTGCAGCAACATGTTATCGTTCCACATCACACTAGCCAAACGTCTGCCGGCACCGCTACAGTAGTAAGGGTGGCACCCAACATGGACTGTCTGACAGCGATCGCACCGCGTCGAGGGACTGCCAGCTCCTGTTTCAAGCTGCGCTTCACTCATGACTAGTGGTGGGAGAATCAAGATTACTTCTTGCGCCATATCTGGGCATTGGCTACGCTTGGTTGGTGATTGGGGCACATATGTGAAAGAGATCTCTTGCCAATTCCCGGCTCCTTGGATGGGAACCGCTCCGTCTTCTCGAAGTCTCCCAACTGCGCTGAACTCCCGCCACTGGGGGGTCCGCCATCATGTCCGTGAGGAAGATGCGTGCCCTACGCAGAGAAACACTTGAAACTTAGGATGAGCATGAATGAGCTGCGGGAGGGAGAAAAAGCTTCTGAGGACAGGAGGATTCAGGGGCCATCCTGCAAGCTATGTCTTCGGCAGTAGGCGTGAACCGCGGTGTCTTCCACGCCCTCAAACATCCTTGCAGGGAGCACTGCTAGGCTGGCCGCAGTGCAGACTTCAAACAAGCCTTATGCCTGTGGGCCTGCATGTGAGTCTACATCTATATTTCTGCTGCACTTGTACTTGTACCTATGACTGTACAGACCGGCCGACAGACTGACCTATAGACCGGGAGAGAGAAAGAGAGAGAGAAGGATAAAAAGAGAGGGATACTGGTACCTGGCCTTTCCAAGTGAGTGGGATCCAGTTCGTAATGTTCGCCGGGTTCATGGAGGTGATGGTGGTCGACGTGAAACGGATGCGGCGACACGCTCTTCGTCAGTTCCCCGGGAGCCTTTTGTTGGAACAGACCCTTGCAGACTGTGCACAGTGCAAGTTAACATTATTCAGATAAGGCAAGGGCCCGTGGCGTGGCAATCATGGTCCCAAGCAGCTCGAACTTCACCATGGCGTGGAGCAAGCAATGGTGGAACTCTTACAAGATACGTTTGTCAACGAGGTCTCATTTGACTGCAGCTTCCACACAAAGGAGTCTTACTCCCCTCCCGCTGGGCAAGATTACAAAATCGCTGATGCCGACTGGTCCTGTTAAGGGTTTGTTTTATGCCTATATCTGGACCTCGGAGCAGAAATTCATGGCAGGAATGTCCAATCCACAGTGTGGCAAGCTTCACCCCAACGCGCAACTGCAACGCAACCCCCACTTTCGCTGACATAGCGTCACAGTGGGTGGGCAGCAGCGAGCTCTGGTCTCAGCTAAATGGTGACGGCCCGTCGTGAAAACCTCTCTCTTAATCCTGCTCATGCTCTTCAGGCTCTTGCTGGGCTGGAGCTGGAGCGGTGTTCGTCTGGCCTTCAAATGTCAGATGCTTCCTCCTGGTTCCTCCTGGTTAGGAAAAATTAAGAGAAGCGGAGCCCGCCTGGCCCATACCCTTGACGACTCTCACTTCTGCCTTCCTGGATGTGTTGGACAGAATTGTCACTTGCTTGAAGATGGAGGTTCGAGATCTCACGCTGAGGCCTGTATGTAACCTGTCAAGTTCACTGCTCGCCAGCTTTGATTCTAATTTTTGCAGCCTGTCCTTGCCACCTGCGTCTGTTGCCGTCGTTTAAAAAATATCAAGAACAAGTAGCTGAATCACAAATGGTTGCCCAACACTACATCAAATGGGTTCCTCGAACACCGCCTGCAGCAAGCGGACCAGCCCTTCCGCTGTTCCGGACTCGCCTTGAGCCGGGGGCTTATGTGGGGTTTTGACACGTTGTGACATGACCCATCTCTTGCTTACGCCTCTACAAACAACTTCACTTTGGGGTACAGCGATCATGGCCGCTTTGGGCGCAGCTTGCAGTCGCACTTTCCAGCACTGTCTCCACACACAGCTGTTGCCGATACATTGCCAGGACACGCCGGAGCACCGCCAGCAGCGCAGCTGGCATGGACTAGGTTTAGCAGGAGTGAGTACTAGAAAAGTACAGGGTGAGATCTGCACTACCTTACAAGAAGAGTAGTCTTAGAATGGAGGCGATGATTTCTTCCCCGTGGAAGGGTGAGTACTAGACTTACTAGACTACCAGAGGGTTTGTATGGGTTTGTTCTACCTCACTATACCCGGCGTACTAGAAGAATGATGCGCTCGCAATGATACCCCGCACGAGCGGCAACCACGCGGTGGCTGCCCTCGGAGTTGCGCAGATGCACCTGCACTTGCAGCATATCATCCTCATCACCTAAGCGTTGGCACGTTTCACTATCAAAGGATTTCGGTTCCCAGGCAGGCCGAAAAATTTGGGCAGGGCACAAAGGGATCAAGAACACACTTGAAAATTAGGATCAACAAAAAATCGGACGGATCAAGCAGACAGTTCTCCAAGGCTGCAGTAGATGTAAATAGCTGCATTTGGAGTTCGACAAGGGCCTGCCACAGAGGAAATTTCAGCGTCTGGCCCTCCTCAAAAGCTGCAGCAGCAGATTTTGACGTCTTTAGAGGCTGCAGAGAATGCAAATCACTGCATATGGGGCTCTTGAGAGAACTGCTGCAACTCACAGATACCAATATCTAGCTTCCAAACGGCCGCAAATACTGCAATTTAGTAGCATCTTCCGCTGTTTGGAAAATTTAAGACCTGCAGCTAGTCCAAGTTGTGGACGCTGCAAACTATAGCGTCTAGAGCTTCTCAATAGCTGCTACCACAGTGTAAGGAACTTCCTTTTTTGAGCCCGTGCTTGGCTGAAAGCGTGTGACGGGCATCTCTTCTCCATCATCTGGAATTCTTCCGAGGCTGCAGGTATGTTTAGGACTAGTGAGTGTTATTTTGAGGTCAGAGGCCCAGCCAAGGTGAACTACCATATCTTGCAGCTCTTCAAAAGCTGTGAATCCAAAGGAGGTGGGGCCACGCGTTGAAAGAAAGCGGGGTTGGCCCCAAATCTGTAGGACAAGGATGAAGGTCAGAAACTGTGGGTTTTTGCTGAATTTCGATACGATTTGGTAGGAAGAATAGAGTTCATGTTTCCAAATAGCCAGGGGTAGGGGAGCGCAAAGATAAACCAACCTTTCTTGCGGTCTGTTGCTGGCCTGCTTTCTTTCCTGCCCTGCCGTGCGTCTCTGGCTTCCTATTTGATTCTTGATTTCTTGCTGGCTGTCTGTCTTTGGAGGAGTAGCTGCAGCTTAGGAAGGGCTCCACGTACTGAAGCTTGTAGCCTTATGTTTGGAATTTGGAATGATGTTAATTTTCGATCTGTCAATTTTTGTGATACCTATTCAACGGCTTTGCGACCCTTATCCTTTTTTGATGCCTCTCCCGCCGAGGAGCTATCCTCGTTGCCGGACGGCTGTGCCTCATCAGCCAGCTGCCCATCATCAGGAATCTCGACGTCGCGCAGACGGAAGACGACGAGTCGCTGGAGTATCCGAGGGCCACGGTGCGACTGCTGAGCTCCCCCAACCACGATACCAGCCTGACCACACACAAAGCGAGCTGGCCTCCGAAGAAGTTGGTTGACTTAATTAAGCTGAGGCTGCACATGCCATGGCCTGCGGCGAGCCTGTTTCAAAGGCAGAAGGCGCCAGCGCAGGTGGCTCGTTGGAGAAGCACAGTTCATCCCACTTCAAGGTATGCAGGTTCAGGCGTGCGACATAGCCTTTTCGAGTGCTGAGCACGGTGCCATGTCCTGCAGATGAATAGATAGAAGCGTCAGGCCAGTCCGAGTATATCCCATGCGAGCATTCAATAATTGACATGGCCAACCTAGAAGTAAGTTTGTGGTCACATAGCTATCCTAACAACTTTGTAATGTAGCAAGCAGGACCGACAGAGATAGAGAATCGTAGACTTGCTGATCCCAAACTACTCAAGCCAGGTATACCAGTTTCAAGAGACCATGACTGCTCACGATGCGGAAACCGCTGTGTAAGCGGCATGTGCAGCTTTCCAATCTCCAGTCCAAACATGACACCAACATATACTTGC